CTCCCCCAATACCCAGCCAGTGCTCCCTCTTCCCAGCTAAATGGCTACCAGAATTGTATGGCTTAATCCAGATAGCTGCAGGTCCTATCCAGCTGGGGTGTCAGGACCCAGAGTTTACAAAGCCTGGGTGACTAGTATAAAATTACAAACGATGCCCCAGGGACACCAGGTAGGGGTTTAGGGTCCCTATGGCCCAGGTTCTGACACCCGTATGAGATTGCATCTGGGTGTGGGTGGGCCTGAGCTCCAGAAGGAGCCTTATATAGCGCAGTCTAATTTCTAAATGGGGAGGCTGAGGCCCACTTCCAAGACATTTACTGCACGTGTACCTCTGGGCACCTTATCCCTCCCCCTCAGGCTTGTGCTGTGCTGTCATGAAGACCAGGGCCGTGGCCAGGCCCTCCACACTCGTGTAGTCACGTGCACACACTTCGAGTCTTTGTGTTGGGTGGAGACGCACAGTCCTTGCCTGTGTCCCCCAATTCCTAACTGTCCCCCCTGCTCCATCTGGCATCTCTCCCCTTGCTATCTCTCCCCCGCTCCCCCCCCCCCCCCCCCCCCCCCCCCCCTCCCCCCCCCCCCCCCCCCCCCGCCGTTCCCTAGCCTCCCTCTCCCGGGCACTGAGAAGCTCTGCTCCCTTGGGGTTACGTGTCCGAGATGGCCTCTCTTCCAAGGCTGGTGGCACAGCAGGGACCTCCTAGCTGGCGCCCGTGGGGCTTCACATTCCCAGGTCGCATTGCCTGGCTCCTGCCCGTCAGGGCGCTGCATTAAAACGTGTTCCAGGGCCTCATCCCAACTGGGACGCCTCCTCCTCGCTGGCGCCAGGCTCACGGGTGCGCGCGTTTGTGTCCCGGTTTCGCATCAGCAGCCCCCGGGCGGGCCTGGCGGGGTTGCCCTTCACCCTGAGCCCGAGCCCGGGTAGGCTGCGCCCCGCCCTCCTCCCCGTACTTCCTCCCAGCGTGTCCCCAACAGCATCGGCTTGGCCGTCCGGGTCCCAACTCATTGTGGATCGCAGAAACCCCCATGTGGGCGTCTGGAGGGCCAGCGTGGCCCGGTCGGGTGCGCGGAAAAACCGCTGAGGGTGGAAGCCGCTCCTCGGCGCGGGCGCCTCTGCCTCTGCCGCCCACTGGTGCCCGCGCCAAGACCGCGCTCCAACCCCACCGGGTGAGCTGAATAATCCCGGTCCCTTAGACGTCTCTGCACGCTACCTCTCCCGTCACTCGCTGAACCCCCACCCACTCCCCCCGACCCAGGAGACTGAATGGTGGAGGAAGCCCCTGATCTCATCTGTCTGGGTTCCGGTGGTGGGTAGGGCTTCTGGGGTCACCCGTGCCCTCCACCTTAATATCCAAGGCCCAGGGACTTCAGACACCCCCTTGCCTCCATCTCGGGGTCAGATGAAGAGAAGATCAGACCTAAACAGGTGCCCCCCCCATCTGCCTTGCCCGCACCCATTCCCAGCCAAGCGAGGCTGGAGCTGAGGTTTCTCTGGCGTGCTCTCTGCAGCTGGAGCCAAACCCACAGAGGTCACCCCCAGAACACCAAGAGGACTTTCCCAAAGGTCACGTTTGGTCAGATGCTCTGAGCTCCGAGGGCTTTTCTTCATGGAAACAATGCTGTACAGTTACTTGAATAACATTTATACACAGCGGCTAAGTCCCCAGGCCAATCCACAACAGCCCATTTAATTACACAGTGCTGCCAACCTATGCCATCTAACAGTTTCATGAGGGATTCGGTGCCAAGTTGCTACTGAGGAGGCCAGGCCCACAGCCTTCTCCTGGCAGCTGACTTCTTCCTCCCCTCCAGAAAGCCAGGGCCAGGCTCTAAGGAAAGGGGGAGGGGTTTAAGGGCAGGGCTGTAGAGGCGGGGTTTTGGGGTGGGGCTGGGTGTGACCAAGGCAGGTGCCCAGCCTTCTTCGGGCCTGTGGGTATTGGCAGTGTCTCCATTGGCTGGTGGGCGAGGGGGGCTTCTGGATGGGGCGGGAGGAGATGAGGAAGAGAAAGGTGGAGACTTTAGGGAACTACTTTGGATTCGATTGGGGCAGAACATAAACTCTTGCTGGAGGGGCCAAGTTCTGAAAAGTATTGACTGCCTGTGGAAGGAGTTGAATTTGAACCCAAAAAGTCAGAGAGAGTCATTGATGGTGTTTGAAAAGGCAAGTGATGTGATGGAATTGTGCTCTGGCTTGGTGGTGGAGGAGAGGAGGGTTTGGGATGGGGCGTGCAGGGCGGTCATATGTAGAGGGAGGGCTGTGGGGTGGGGTCTGACCTGTCACACCCTTGGAGCTGCTTTTCAGCTTTGGGCTGATATTTTTAGCATCTGTGACTTATGGTCGAAAAAAAAAAATAACTTGTGAAATAAAATTAAAATAACTTCCAGACCACTTACATCACTGTACCTGGGAGCACCACACAGCCACGGGCTACACTGAGCTGTTCTTGCCTCCCTTGGCTGTCTTGCATGCTGAGGTTTGTAGTTTATTTTTATTTTATTTTTTTCTTTTTATCCCACCAAACACGTGATTTTTAAGAGGTGTGTAGTTTTGAATGGACCAGGGCAAGTGGGGGTGGAGATGAGATAGGGGAGGGAGTGAGTCCAAAACAAGGCTGTCAGCCTGGGCAACAAAGCAAGAGTCTCTCTCTCTCTCTCTCTCTTTCTCCCTCTCTCTCTCTTTCTCCCTCTCTCTCTCTTTTGAGATAGGGTCTCAGTCTTTCACCCAGGCTGAGTGGAGTGGCAAGAACATGGTTCACCGCAGCCTCGACCTCTCTGGGTTCCAGTGATCCTCCCACCTCAGCCTCCCAAGTAGCTGGGTCTTCAGGCATGTATCACTAATTTTTGTACTTTTTGTAGAGATGGAATTTTGCCTGGTTTCCTAGGCTACTCTCGAACTCCTGGGCTCAAGTGATCTGCCCAACTCAGCCTCCTAAAGTGCTGAGATTACAGGCATGAGCCACTACGCACAGCTCTTTTTCTCTACAAAAAATAATTTAAAAATTAGCTGGGCATGGTGGCGTGTGCTGGTAGTTGCAGCTACTCAGGAGGCTCAGACAGGAGGATCACTTAAGCCCAGGAGTTTGAGGTTACAGTGAGCTGTGCTCCTGTCACTCTACTCGAGCCTGGGTGACAGAGAGAGACCCCATCTCAAACAAACAAAACAAACCAAGGCTCCAGCTGCCTCAGAAATGAGTGTGTGTGTAGTAGCTGGCGGCCGCCTTGTTTTGCGGTTGTTTAGTGCCTTTTCCTGCAAGTTTGGTGTGGGCAGCAGGGAGCATCAGGGCCACACCGGAGCTTCCTTCTGTCCAGCTGTGCAGTTCACAGAGAGTGCACATGTGTAGGCCATAGTTATGTTTCTCAACTCAAACCTAGAGGAAGCAGAAGTCACAGTGAGTGCTGACAGTTGGCCTTCTGTTATCTTTTCTCTCATCTTCTGGGTAGTTTCATGGAACTGGCGCTGACAGTGGCCTGCCATCTCAGTAGGGGAGACCTGCCCTGCCAGTCTTTGAATAAAGACCGAGGATATCTACAGGGGCATCTCCTTTAGGGCTCTCCCCACAGGGCCAGGATGGTAGAATGAACACAGCTCTCAGCTTCAGTGAGAGCCAGTATATCACCCTGCCTGGCCTTTCCTCAGTTGGCAGGAGCAGGTCAATCTATTTTGTTTACTTTGCTCTGGCCACCCCCACCAGCCTCTTTTTTTTTGGAGACAGGGCCTCACTCCCCTTGCTTAGGCTAGCATGCAGTGGTGCAATCATGGCTCACTCTAGCCTCAACTTCTCATGCTCAGGCGATTCTTCCATCTCAGCCTCCTGAGTAGCTGGGCCTACAAGTGAGCACCACTATGCCCAGCTAATATTTATATTTTTAGTAGACAGGGTTTCATGTTGCCCAGCCTGGTCTCAAACTCCTGGGCTCAAGCAATCCCCCCGCCTTGGCCTCCCAAAGTGCTGGGATTATCTGGCTCTCTTCCTGAGAAACGCCTTGCTCTAGGTTGAAGAACTTTTGGTTCCTAAGACATGGATGGTTTTCCAAAGTACAACAGATAAAGGCCACATTGGTTATATGGCACCTCATGTAAAGGTCATGTTCGAGGTCTTGGCCACTTTACCTATAACAAGCCTGGACTCCACAGAGCCTTGGGCCAAAGAATGTGGGTCATAGGGATATATCCCTTGTTGTGTTCACATCTCCCTGGGGACTGGGCTACACTGTTGGGTCAGGTAATGGGCCTGCTCTCCTCATGTAATAAGGCATACCCATATTACTAATGCAGGGTGAAATTTCTTATAATTCCATACCTTTCCAGTTGTGGCTATTTTATTAATACCTACAGGTTTTCCTTATTTTTTGAACTGCAAATCTATAGAAACAAACAAACCCCAAACCCAACAAACATGTTTCAGAGGCATTAAGGTTAGAGAGAAGAGGAGAAATAGCACCCTGTTTGACTGGGGCTCTGGGGAGACAGGGACTCAGGCAAAAGGGTTTGTGTGGCAGGTGGTCTAGTTTTGGGTGGGTTGAGCAGACTTAGGGCCAAAAGTGGCACTGATTCTAGCTGGTGCAGGCCTCTCTGTATTTCCAACCAGGACTTCTTCCTTTATCTTGGCAGGGATGCTTTACTTCTGAGTTGTACATTTAACCTCAGCATCAGTTTCTTCACCTGCAAAGTGGGATAATACTTGCTCTGTAAGGGAATAATTCCCCCTTTAGTGACGGCCTTTGCAATGGAAAGAAAAGGGAGAGACCTTTCAAGCTATCTTGGCTCCATCTTCTTGTCTTGGTTATTGCTGATGTGGATGTCTGGGGCATGTTCCTGTTCCCTTTTTTTTTTTTTTTTTTTAGATAGAGTCTCATCCTGTTGCCTATGCTGGAGTGCAGTGGCACAATCTTGGCTCACTGCAACCTCTGCCTCCTGGGTTCAAGAGATTCTCCTGCCTCAGTCTCCTGAGTAGCTGGGATTACAGGTGCCCTCCACCACGACTGGCTAATTTTGTGTTTTTAGTAGAGATAGGAGTTTCACATGTTGGTCAGGCTGGTCTTGAACTCCTTACCTAGTGGTGTGCCTACCTCGGCCTCCCAAAGTGCTGCGATTACAGGCGTGAGCCACCACGCCCCACCTGCTCTCCCTTTTACACTTTTGATCTTAGTAGTGTTAAGACTCCCTACTTACTAGTATTATTTTTTTGTTACAAATAGCAAAATCTGATTCAGAGTAGCTTAAGCCCCCAAAAGGAATTGATTGTAAAAATATTGGGTTTCTCAGGATTTGAAGACAGAGTTGACTCCGCAAGGAAGAGTGAGAGCAGTTCTGGGGACCTCAGGGGCTCACAGACTTTGTCCCTGGAGTGTGAACACCGACCACTCAGCAGAGCTGCTCTTGACTTCTTGATCTCTGTTGCAGTGAGCTAAGATTGCGCCACTGCACTTCAACCTGGGTGACAGAGCGAGACTCCATCTAAAGAAAGATAAAAAAAAAAAAAAAGAAAAAAAATCACGTTTACTGAGATATAATTTAAATACGGTGAAATTTATCCCCTACAGCTGTACAGTTGCTTAGGAGTTTTTTGTTGTTGTTTTTTATTTGTTTTTGTGCTTATGAGTTTTGATGAACATATTCATTGCATAACTACCAGTACAATCAAGATAAGGAATATTTCTATTACCCCAAAAAGGTTCCTCATGGACACAGTTTTTTCAAGTCACTCCTGGTTAATGTGTATCCTTAGGATAATAAAACAATGTTAATTCGTGAATTGGATTTAGGCTGTTTAAATATTGCTCATTGGATTGTACCTCGGAGTGGGAGAATTTACTCTGGCAATTTAGTAAAGGTTGGAGCTGCCAAGTGAAAGCAGACTGTTGGTGAATATAATTTATTGGGATTCAAAAGGATACATCAGCCAGATGGATACATGAATGCTAATCAAGGGTTGATTTAGCAAGATCTACTAAGGAAATATATCTTGTACAGTGCTAATTACATTTTATTTTTTATAATTGAGTTTAATATGTAAAGTGATTAGAATAGTCACTGCCACTTAATACCACTTCAGAATTACCTGCTTTTCTTAATATTGGTGTAATTCACAATTTACTTCCAAGCTCCACCTACCCTTTGGCTGGCCAGGATGAGCTGTTAAAGAGTCCTACTGGTGGGACTATCTCAGGTTTCTCTAACAATGTTATCATATTGTTATTTTACATAATCTCCTAGGGATTTGTCACTCTTTCATATTACATTGTTTTGTGGGAAAGCAGGATTCCAGAAGTTCTTAAGAGCTTTTCCAGCTCCCAGAGCTGCAATGGTAAGTTCAGATAACATGGCCAGGGGCAGGAGAAATCACCGTAGAATCTTTCTTGGTTCTCTTTATTTCCCATTAATGCTTCATAACCTTCCACCTTGATTCTTTCCCCTGCACATACCCCGATATTCAAAATAGCCCTTCTTATTAGATTGGGTTTTCCTAATTAAAAGCTGCCGTTGATCTTATACCCCAAAGTTTCTGGAATTCCTAAACCTTGTCTTTTGTCTAAGCCGTTTTAACTTGAGCGCAGAGTATCTCCAGACACAGGCTGGAACAGATCTGGAGGGAAGAACACTGGGGCTGTTTGTCCTGTCATATGAGAGGGAAGATCTGGTTTTAGGACAAGCTCTTCAAGCTTGGGGAATGAATCAAAGGCGTGGAAGTGCCCTGTTTCTGTATGTACTAAGAGAAATGTGTTCTTAAAGTTTACAAGCTTTTTGTCTTGGTATTCCCCTTTGGCTCAGTTGCTAGCATTGTTAAATTGCACAAGTTGAGGGTTTGCTAAAGTTATTGCTAAATTTGTAGCTTCTGTATCTGCTAAAATTGGACGATTTTTGATGCGTCCTTTAACCTGTTTTGTAATCTCATTAATTTTCTAGTGAGCCCATTGTGCTGTTGGGATTCTGACATCCCCAAATCTAATGAGCCATGACCATACACTTTAGCTCCATGCCCACTGGCTTCTCAAATTCTTTTTCATTTTTCCAATTCTCTGGCACTTTCTCTTATAGGTGGTTCTGCTTTAACTTAAAATGAAATGAAAACTTCAGCCCCTTGGTTGCACCAGCTGCTAGCATTTTAAGTGCTCAAGAGCCACCTGTGGCTGGTGGCGGCTCGGTTGGATAGCTGGATATAGAACATTTCCCTAACAGCAGAGTGTCGTATGGGACAGCACTGCTCGAGGTATTGCTCTCTGATGATCACACCCACTTTGCAGATACTAGGACCGTCTAACTATGTATACCTTCTTTCTTTCAGATATGATGTTGAAGGCTTTCCCTCAGTTTGTATCTTTTAACAAATATTTTAGTCTTTATTGATCAATCCCTCATACATCTCTGCAACAAAAATATACATATTCATTTAATTCTTTTTTTTAATTGACAAAAATCGAATCTATGGTATACAATATGATGTATTGATTTATATGTACATTGTTTAATGGCCAAATCAAGCTTATTACCTTACTTTTTTGTGTATTTGGTGAGAACACTTAAAATTATTCACTTAGCAATATTCAAGTACACACTATACGGTTATTAACTAGAGTCACCGTGTTGTACAGTACATATCTTGAATTTATTCCTCCTGTCTAACTGAAATTTTGTCTTTGTTGATGTTTTTTTTTTTTTCATTCAATTCATTAAAAACATAATTAGGTCACAGAGGTTAGGAGCTTTAAAAAAAACAAAAAACAAAAAAAAATTTGGATTTCTTTGGCAATCTAGCAATGCTTAGTGTATTTTTACAGCTGCTGCTAAAAGCGTAGCGAAATCATAGAAACCTCAGTGCTGCCAAAACCTATGTATTTGGTCATATTTATTTTGACTCGTGTTTTTTTTGTGTGTGTGCCTAACCTTTTCTCTAACTTTTTTGTAAAGAATGCTGGAGTATTCCCCAATTGTTGACCAATTCCCGTTTCCTGTTCTAAGTCTAGATTTCAGTGTTGGCCCACTAGGTGGAGATAGGCTCCTATTTCTGTAGCCTTAACGTGATTTTGAATTCCGACGCTTTGCAATGGATAATCTGGCCTTTTCCTCCACAGCTTTAAAACATTTCTTTGTGAATTCAAAACAAACACAGTTTTAATTCTCTGTAGTTATCCAATAAAAATGGATAGGAAATAAGTGCTAAATTATTTACTTACAATGCTTCCGTATGAAAATCCTCTACTCCCAAGAGGGCAGGCTTCACAACTTGACTCAACGGTGAGAAATCTGAGTTGACTCAGCTTTCTGACTGTACTCTGATGGTACCATGTTAGGAGAAATTCTTGGTCAAACAGAAAATCAAGGAAGACCTCCTTCTTGTCAAACTTTAAGTTAATCTACTAGTTCTTTTCATAAAGCAAAAGGTAAAATGTTGAGGACTCTGAGTCAGCCGGCAATCAAAATGACTTTAAAACTAAGTCCCTTTTAATTATGGCTTAAGGCAATATTAAATTAATCCCCGAGTATTATAAACACGGGTTTCCCAGCCCTCTGCTGATCAGGTTTGCTTGTTTGTGTATTTCCTTCCTCTCAAAATTCCAAATAGTGAAGTCTCTCCTAGGCAACGGAGGCTCATTCATTGTCAAATTCCTTGCATGTAAAATTCTTTGGGTACAAAATAGATTGCTTGCCTCTTATTTTTCTTTTTCTTGAGATCCAGTCTCACTCTGTTGCCCAGGCTGGAGTGCAGTGGCACTATCATGGCTCACTGAACCCTTTACCTCCTAGGCTCAAGTGATCTTCTGCTTCAGCTTTCCAAGTACCTGGGACTACATTTATTTTTAATTTTTTTGTAAAGACAGGGTTTTACCATGTTGCCCTGGCTGGGCAAGGTGCCTCCCCTCCTTGGCCTCCCAAAGTGCTGGGATTATAGGTGTAGCCACCAGGCCCAGCCTGCTTCCCTCTGTTTTACCAAGATGTTTGACAGTGGATATATAAAAATGACAACTTCCCTTTCTTATGTGGGACACTGAGAGATGGGTATTTCCTACAAGAAATATAGAATACAAAATGGGTAATTTCTCATGGCGTTCCGCAAAAATTAAAAATTTTACAGAATACTCATCTGCATCCCTGGTTTGTAACTTTAGCTTCCCAAAACTTGCCTACATGCTAATAGGATTCAAAAAACATTTGTAATAATAATTTCAGAATTAAAACATTAAAATGAATTTAGTCCTATATCTTCTATAATAACCAATATTTCTAGAAAAGTAGGATTTAAGAGTATCTTCTGTATATTATATAACTTTATGTTTTTTTTTTTTTTTTGAAACAGAGTCTCAGTCTGTTGCCCAGGCTGGGCTCATTGGGACAATTTTGGCTGACTGCAACCTCCACTTCCTGAGTTCAAGTGATTCTCCTGCTTCAGCCTCCCAAGTAGCTGGGATTACAGGTGTGTGCCACCATACCTGGCTAATTTTTGTGCTTTTAGTAGAGACATGGTTTTGCCATGTTGGTCAGGCTGGTCTGAAAATCCTGATCTTAGGTGATTGGCCCGCCTTGGCCTCCCAAAGTGCTGGGATTATGGGCGTGAGCCACCATGCTCTGCCCAATATATGACAAAACGGATACTCATGTCATTTTGAAAGTTGTCAGTGGAATGGATGGTTTACTTCTGTGTAGAAATGAGTTAACATATCACACCTGACTGTGATCCTTTGAAGGACCTGCTTACAATATTGGATCTGTCTGGCACCTGGGAACTTGGATTTCAGTAGGGTTCCCACCGTTCCCAGAACGGTTAAAAATGGCTCACTATGTCTAAACTGTTTGTACAAACGATATGGTTTATGCCAAACACCTGCTTTGTTTCTGGGAGATTGGAATTTTGGTATGTATTAGGCAGAGGGTGCCTATGAGATCAGCCCTGTGCTGGTTAATTTCAGGTGTCAACTTCATGGGATTAAGGGATACTCAGATAGCTGGTAAGGCGTTGTTTCTGGGTATGCCTGTGAAGGTGTTTCCAGAAGAGGTTGGCACTGGAATCAGTAGACTAAGGAAGGAAGATCTACCCTCATCCCATGTGGGTGGGCACCATTCAATCAGCGGAAGGCCTGGCTAGAACAAAAAGGCAGAAAAAAGACGAATTCACTCTCTCTCTGTTTTGGAGTAGGAAGTCCTGTATTCTCCTGCCCTTGGACATCAGATCTCCAGGTTCTCTGGCCTTTGGACTTAGGGATTTGCACCGGCAGTCCCCCACATTTTTGGTCTTGGACTCAGAGTGACTCCACCAGCTCCCCTGGTTCTCAGGCCTTTGGACTTGGACTGAGCCATGCTACCGGCTCCCGAGTCTCAGCAGCTTGCAGATGGCCTAATGTGGAACTCCTCAGCCTCTATAGCCCAGGGAGGGAACTCCCATCATAAATCCCCTCTCATCTGTCTTCCTCTATATAGCCAATAAATTTTGTTTCTCTGAAGAAGTCTGACTAATAAAGACGCTCAAAGGCCCTAGTGCTGGTCTGTTACGAGCTTCCTCGTAGACAGTATTTTACACATGGCACCCCCGCTCCTTGTGGGAGGAATTAAGTGTGTCCTGTGTGGCTCTGGGGAGAGAGGATCCTTGGAAGCCTGCGCCTGGTTTCTCCTGGGCTTTGCTCCGTGTGCCTTTCCCTCTGCTGACTTTGCTCTGGGTCCTTTTTCTGTAATAAATCACAGCCCTGTGTAGGACCGCATGATGAGCCCTGTGAATCCTCCTAGGGAACCATCTCACCTGGGGTGGCTCTGAGGGCCCCCAACATAGCTCCTACTTTGGCGTTGGTATCTGGTAATATATAAAATCCCCACAAACCAACTTGTCATCATAATTTACGAATGTATTTCATCAAAATTTCCTGTAGTCACATTCAAGAAGGTTAGCTATGAAAGAAACACTCTGTAAGCTTGGTTAAGACCCTGCATTTTTGAAAATTCATTTTAATCTAATAATATTGTAGCAACTAGAAGTTTTCCTGATTTTTTTATTTTTTGGATGAAGTTTTACTCTTGTTGCTCAGGCTGGAGTGCAATGGTGCAGTCTCCACTAACTGCAACCTCCGCCTCCTGGGTTCAAGTGATTCTCCTACCTCAGCCTCCCAGATAGCTGGGATTACAGGTGCCCACCACCATGCCCAGCTAATTTTTGTATTTTTAGTAGAGACAGTGTTTCACCATGTTGGTCAGGCTGGTCTTGAATTCCTGACTTCAGGTGATCCGCCCACCTCGGCCCCCCAAAGTACTGGGATTACAGGCATGAGCCACCGTGCCCAGCCTCCTGATTACTATTATATAAAATTTGGACTTAGCGGCACATCATACCATGAAATGACTGAAGAAAATATGTCTTCTCTCTTGGTATTAAACATCAATTAAGATGAGTTATAAAAATCATAGTAAACTGTATTCTAAAAGCAAGCCCATGGCTGAAAAATCTGTTATACACATTTCTTTTGAAACTGGGGATGTATTTTCACTGTACAGCCCACAAGAGAGGGAGTTGGGGTGATCTGGTGAACACAGAGTTATGGAATAAGTGTGTATCTACAACTTACTGCAAATAGTATACAAAGAACGGTAATGTGTTATGCTGCTAGGCATGGTGGCTCAATTCTCTAATCCCAGCATTTTGGGAGGCTGTGGTGGGTGGATTGCTTGAGCTCAGAGTCCAAGACCAGCCTGGCCAACATGGTAAAACCTTGTCTACCAAAACTACAAAAAATTAGCCAGGTGTGATGGTGGGCGTCTTTACTCTCAGCTACTCTAGAGGCTGAAGTGGGAGGATCACTTGAACTCTGGAAGCAGAGGTTGCAGTGAGCTGAGATCATGCCACTGCATTTCAGCCTGGGTGACAGAGACTCCATCTCTAAATAGATAAAATAATATATTATGCTATTATACCTGTTTTTAAAATTGGGATCTTATGTCGATTTCTACATTTGGGAAGCATATTCCTAATAACTGACCTGCTTTATTAGTCCTGTATTGTGTTCAGTGGCAAAGCCAGGCTTGGTGTCCATTCCAACTGGGAACACCAGGAGTAATGGTCCCACTCCTTGCTGCTGAGAGTACAGCATGAATTTGGGCACCTACCATGAAAGAAAGCAAATGTGAGGAGATCCCCAATCAGCTGCACTCCTATTTAATAAGGAGACTTGATCACTATCAAGAAATGTACTCCACGCCTGGGTAAAACCACACTGACTCATCCTGAGGCTCTTCACTGGACCTGGTGATCACCAAACCCTTCAAGCATCAAATGGCCATGTGACTATCTCCTTCCTCTCAGGATGAAAAGCAGACAATAACATGTGATTTTATGTTCCTCAGGAAAGTACATGCTATAAACTAGAGAACTTGGGAAAGAGGAATTACATGAATTAAAATGCAGTCACATGATGGCATGTGCCTGTGCTGCCAGCTACTGGGGAGGCTGAGAGGGAGGATTGTTTGAGCCCAGGAGGTGGAGGCTCACACTCACCACCGCACTCCAGCCTAGGTGACAGGGCGAGATCTTGACACACACACACACACACACACACACACACAAAAAAAAAAGAAAGAAAAATAAAGGAGAAAAAAGAAATTGTTCTTAAACACAAAATTTAAAATGAGGTTCTTTGTACCACCAAATTCTTTTTTTTTTTTTTTTTGAGACGGAGTTTTGCTCTTGTCCCCCAGGCTGGATTGCAATGGCGTGATCTCGGCTCACTGCAACCTCCGCCTCCTGGGATCAAGACATTCTCCTGTCTTGGCCTCCCAAGTAGCTGGGATTACAGGCACATGCCACCAGGCCTCGATAATTTTTAGTAGAGATGGGGTTTTGCTATGTTGGGCAGGCTGGTCTTGAACTCCTGACCTCAGGTGATCCACCTGCCTTGGCCTCCCAAAGTGCTGGGATTACAGGTGCCACCATGCCAGGCGACTCTTAAATTTGATTCAGCTGTGCGCCTGGCCTCACCACATCCTTATATGAAGAAGAAATAAAAGAATAATTACTAATTAAATAATTATTATTTCCTTCTCCTTATATGTTTGAAAACATCAAAGATTTTCTCCAAAATTATCAAAGCTATAAAAGTGTAAATATAATATCACCTGGTAACAAATGAATTCCTCTATGATGCAAAGAATCAATGTAAAACTATGAAGAAATATTATTCATTCACAAAAGTAACTACAAATAAAAAATCCCAACTTGTGTAATGTATTTCCAAACATCCCATTAAGAGGAAGGTGTTTATGATGTCCTAATTTTCGTTTCCTTCACTTACCCCACACTCTGCAGTGCGCAGGGGCTTCCTGGGCTACACGGGTCCCTGACAATTCTCCCACTTCCTCCCAGCAGCTCTAGCATCTTCTTTCCCCAGCCGCAGAGGCGCCCCCTTCTGATCTCTTCCGGTTGGTTCCGCTCCATCAGGCTGTTTCATCTCCAGCCTTTCTCCCTGGACAGGGGTAGGGAAAGGAGTGGTGGATTGGGAGCTCCTCCCTCCCTGCACTGCCTCATGTTCTCCACGGGGTCTGGCGCACAGTGGCCATTGCAGATGCACCCTGAAGACTGAAGGAGTCAGCGCAGAGCCAGGTTCTGCGGGCCAACGCCCTGGCTGCCCTGCTGAGCTTCCTGGAAGCCGGGCCATCAGGGGTGAGAGCTCAGCTGGGCGAGGAAGCGACCACATATGCTGTTTTCTTTCCTGTTTCTTTTCTCTCTTCCTTACTGTCCTGTGTGAGGCTCGTTTTTTGCTTTCTCTCACTCTAACAACAACAATAACCACCATTTACTGAACACCCACCCCCTAAGTGCCAAACCTCATGTTCTTCCTCACAACACCATTTTCAGAAAGGCTTTTATTTTACTTTATTTTGAGATGGAGTCTCACTCTGTCACCCAGGCTGGAGTGCAATGACGCTCACTGCAATCTCCACTCCCCAATTCAAGTGATTCTCCTGCCTCAGCCTCCGGAGTAGCTGGGATTACAGGCACCCGTCACCACGCCCGGCTAATGTTAGTATTTTTAGTAGAGACAGGGTTTCACCGTGTTGGCCAGGCTGGTCTTGAACTTCTGACCTTGTGATCTACCCACCTCGGCCTCCCAAAGTGCGGGGATTACGGGCGTGAGCCAGCACACCCGGCAGTGGGGTCTGGCTTTGAAACCAGCCTCCTCCAACCCATAATCCCTACCGCTGACCCTCCAAGCCCAGATCTCATCATGTTATTCTCCTGCTTAAGATGCTTAACAGTTTCCCATGCTCTGTGGGATAAAATGCAGACACCTGCCATCAGCACACAAGGCAGGTTACAGTGCAGCCCGGTCCACATACCCCCTGGCTCAGTCACACTGAAGAACTGCAGCTCTCCTTGCAACTTCATGCCTCTCTGCTCCTGAGCCTGCTTTTCCTGCTGGAAGTGCCATTTACCCTTTCTCATTTTGCTAACCTCAGGTAAACACCATCCCTAGGAAACTTCCTTAAATCTCATTTTTTAAAAATGCCCTCTTTACGCTCCTGAGTGGGTCCAACATATACCTTGTGGTAGTCAGTGGTGATCAAAATAACCAATGGAAATTAAAAAAAAATACACGTGTAGCAATCTTCTTTTATTTGTCTCTTTGGTTTTTGGATTTCAAGCAGCTTGCGGACAAGGTCCATGTTTTCTGAGCTACATTTTTAGTGCCTAGAGAGTGGAAATTGAAAATAGGTGTTTATTTAACAGAACAAAAATTAACATTTGAAGGTGGAATTTGCTTCACAATGCACAGACTTTTAGTTTTAGACTTTGTGAATATAATAAAAACAAAGTAACCTAGGGTAAACAACCTACATCTCTCTAGCCCTGCTCCTATGTCATGTTTTTTGTTTTTTGCTTTGGGCTTCGTTTCTGTAGGTGAGTCATTCTCTAGCCCCTAACCTCAGTGGCGGCTCTCGCCATCTGAGCCTGCTGTCATTGGATGCATCTAAGTAGAGGACTGGTTTTCCGTGTTGGGCTGGGAGGGGAAGTCCTCGCTTAGGGACCATCAACCTTGCAGTGTCGTTTCGCTTCACTTCCTCTTCCGGGCTGAAACCCACGCTCTCTCATCTTGATTCTTTTACTGTAGTAATAACAGGCTGTTTGTTGTCAAGCTTTTGCTTCTTCTTATACACCAGGTAAAGCTAAGATACTATCTCATAGGTGTTTCAAATGCAACAACTTTTGTTTCCAGGTAAAACTACACTTGAAAATATACATTTGACAAGGGAATTTTGTGACTGTTATGTGAATGACAACACTTTTAAATTTACCATGCCTAAAATGAAAGTGTTTGGATAAAATTATGTAAGGTACCATTTTTCTAAAAGTAAGAACATAACTTGAAGTCTATAAATAGCGCTAAGACTCTGGCGGTCTTTTCATGTCCTTCACAATTTTTTTTTTTCACTCTGAAAGATTCTTATTTCATCCCCCTCACTTCCCTGCCTTGCTCTGTGGCTATATCAGTATTTTTAATGTCTGGTCCTTTAGGGGTTCTGAGATCCTAACAGAGTGAGGGAGGGGGACAACTCAATATTGTTTCTACCTGGAGTCTGTGACTTGGGCAAGTTACTTTACCTCCGTGGTCAGCTCCCTAATATGTAAAATAATTTCTTCTGTTAAATCAAGTTTAGCCTAAAGCTGCCTCCTTACATATTTTAAGTTTGGCCTAAAGGTTTCTCTGTATATCATGAACTATAACAAGTGGATGTACAAACAGACCGTAGCCTACACTTGTGCCAATCACAGAGTTTTGGCCAATTATATGTAGCCAACTGTTCAAACCGTGTTCAAACAAGAATACACCCAGCTATAACCAATACGTCACTTTCCTTTTTCTGACCTGGGCTGATGGGGCCAGGACAGGAGCATGGGAAAGTGTGGCTCTGTTTGGGAGCCCTTGGGGAGAAAAAGGGTGGGGCTGGGAGAGGTGGCCCCTAATCTGGTGAATACAGGGCTTGCTCATGATTCACTAGCTTCTTGCTTTTGCTTCACATTACCAATATCCTCCTTTGCCTGTCTTTTAAAACACTTTTTATTGTGAAATTGAGGATGTTTATAAAAAATGCGCAAACCAATATAAACCACATGCAATGATTATCAGAGCAAACCCCACATAACTAGTAGTTAGGTACCGAAATAGACCATTGCTGGCTTCCCTGTGCCCCTCCTCAGGCCAGCAGGTAGTTTGCAAACTTTTCAGGAAGCAGGAGAATGAAGAGGCTGTTTTCTCACATTAGCCAAGGGATCAGGAATTTCAGGAATAGTTAACAATGCTAGAATCTCAAAAAGCGTCAACTATGGTAAGTATACACTGGCCTGGTAGTAAATGGTTACTGAAGCCTCTTCAAAGAGCAGCTTCACACGCCATGCCCAGCTCTCACCTCCTTCTACTTTCATTATTCCCTGGCTGAGCCTCACTGGCACTTGACAGGTAGAGACCAAGAGAGGGCGAAATGACGTCTCCTCAGGGTACCCCTTATCTTTACCTGGGGCAGCAACATCTGTGGGGTGGACCACCTTCTCCTCTTGGGCTGTGAGGGGCAGAAAATGAAGGGAACAGGATGGAAAGGGATGGGGGACACGACACTAAGCTGGGAGTCCTAACCCCGCTGTGTTTGTCCTACTCCAGGCGTCAATCCTTCTTAGTCAGAAGTGGACACAGGGAAGTCACCAGCTTCAGGTCTCCTTTAAAGCTCCAGGCCAAGCTTTCTTTTGAATCTCTGCTCTTCATCCGCAATGACTGATGTACCCTAAGACCCCTCCATCTCCTGGCTGCCTATGATCCTGCCTACGTAGCACTCAGCAAAGAGTCTGACTCAATCACTCAATCAATATGAAAAATTTAAAGTATAGTGACAAGGTGGTGCCCACACTGGATGGTCTGTATGCTCTGATCTCATCTGGGACCTTTCTTTGCACTGCATTTTTCCTGAGAAATCCCAGAGTTCAATAAATACCTGTGTGTGTCAGAGCTAGACACATCTGATGCCTTTGAGATGTGGACATGGACCTCTTATATTCTTACATGTAAACTCCTTATATCCTCAGTGCCCTAGGAATGCATATCCTGGACCTGTAATTGTAGGATACAGGTGCATTATGTGTTATGGGTGCAGATACCTCAATTTTGCATCCTACAAGAGTTAGTCTGGAGATTGTTCACTCCACTTTGGGTACTGCCCATGCCTGTAGCATGTGTCCAGGGGACAAAAATGGAAGGGGATGACTCTGATTGGATAGTGAGAGGAACACAGTGGCTCTTGGAAATTGACCAGGAATAAGTGTCCAGGGGCACACAAGGCCCAGAAGCTGCTTGTGAGAAGTCAGGGAGAAGGAAGCCAACAACTGGATGTATCAGAGAGCCACTGAGTGCTCATTATGTGTATCAGGAGTTAAGAATCCATCCTTGGGCCAGGTGCAGTGGCTCATGCCTGTAATCCCAGCACTTTGGGAGGCTGAGGTGGGCAGATCACAAGGTCAGGAGTTTGAGACCATCCTGGCCAACATAGTAAAAACCCGTCTCTCCTAAAAATACAAAAATTAGCTGGGCTTGGTGGTGGGTGCCTGTAATCCCAGCTACTCAAGAGGCTGAGGCACAAGAATCACTTGAACCTGGGCAGCGGAGGTTGCAATGAGCTGCGATTGCACCACTGCACTCCAGCCCGGGTGACAGCGTAAGACTCTGCCTATTAAAAAAAAAAAATTCATCTACACTAAAAGGAAAGCTTAGACCAAACATGTCTTCTACCTTGATTTATAGTAACTTAATATGAAATGCAAAACACATAACGATTTTGGATTGTAAAAAAAAGACCAGTCTTTGAAAGAGTGCTGCACATATTGCTTTGCTCTTTCAACAGTGGCGGTGGGGGGGCATTTCTCTCTGTATGAATTATAGCTCAGGAGGCCTGGCTGGTGAAGGAATGCAGACTTAGAGGCTAAGTGTCTTCTACTTGATGCGTTCAAAAGGCCAAGCAACGTTTGGTTAAGGAGTATTCGTGATGGCATGCAAAGAAAATGTTTAAAGTGTATTAGATTGTATTTATCATTTTAAATTCTGATTCTCATTTAATTTCTTAACAGTAATGCTAAAACAGGCTCTTCGTAAGTTGTATGTGGAATCAGTGCTATGTCAATATGGTCCTATAACACAGATTTGCAGTCTGCTCACCCTTGAATAGCTAAGAATAGTGGTTTCAGACGTAAGTGGATGAAGACACCGAACATGATTATGGGGCAGCTTACTGAAATATAGTAAATCCAGGAGAGGTCCGTATCCAGTGGGCCACCTTATACAATACTTTGGACATAGCCATTTTCATGGCTGTCTTTCCTATGTGTAAACCACAATGAACTTCTCTATTAACTCCTACTGTTTGCCAAAGCCCTCAAGAAAAAGT